CACAACAGACAGAGGCTGTTGTTCCTCGGCAGGTTAAAGCCAAAAACTAAAAACTCTTTTCAATGGAATAACAATGAGTGGAGATGTTTCTGACTGATCTTAGGTTTTACAGACCCTCCATAATCCTGACAAGCCCTCTAACTTGCCAGTTCCTTCTCACCTACTTCCTTGCGCCTCTTGTACTCATTGATGTTGGTGTTCATCTCGAGCATCATGCTGGCTGCGCTCTGCAGGGCAAAGTAAGCTTTGTCACTGGCCGGTGTATTCTCCAGGATCTTCTGCAGCAGCAGCGGGTACTTAGTGACCCTCTGCACTGGCATCACCAGGAAGAAGCTCAGGTCTGAAGCACCAGTGTGAGATCTGCATGAGAGGCAAATGGGGAGAAATATGAGAATCTTGAGTGCAGCTGAACTCGTGGGCTACGTCTACACTGGCCCCTTTTCCGAAAGGGGCATGCTAATTTTAAACTTCGTAATAGGGAAATCCACGGGGGATTTAAATATCCCCCGTGGGATTTAAATAAAGATGTCTGCCGCTTTTTTCCAGCTTGTAGAAAAGCCGGAAAAGAGCATCTAGACTGGCCCGATCCTCCGGAATAGGTCTTTATTCCGAAGGATTTCTTATTCCTACTTCAAAGTTCAGATGTGCCCAGTCATGAGGGAGTGACTGGGGTGGCAAATGGGCATCTGATGATGCCTGTGATGAAATGAGGGCAATCACCTTCAGGGAAGCTCCATTTCAGAATAAGGTCCCAGGCTAATCGCCTCCACCCCCTACATCCATGTGATGTGTAGCAGACACCCCCACTACCCCACACACAGACCCCTAATGGCCCAGTAGTGTAGAGGGCAGGATCCTACATGCACATCACAGATGGGCAGTGCCATTGTTCCCATTTTCTCTTCAAATTCACCGCTGGATCCTCAGCTGCTGAAAATCAGCATCTCTGTAGCTCCCCTAGTGCTGGAGCTTTGCTGATTTATACCAGCTGAGGTCCTGGCCACCTACACTGGGGAGCTCAGAGCCAGGTGTTCAGGGATTTCCTGTCTGTGAAGCCCAGATCGCAACCTTCCCAAACCTGTGAACTGCCACCCCTCATAGCCATGCCAAGCAAGAGAGGAATTTCAGAAGGGTAGGGGGGAGCAGCCGTGTGCACTGGGACATGACTTGCTTTTCATCCCATTTCCCAGCCTATCCGGAAGTGAGAGGAAAGTACTTGCATACTGTGCATGCCTCTTACACCTGCCTGGTGAAGGGAGGGAGCAGAGGAATAAATCACGGCATGAAAGTACTTTTTCCTCACTCCCTGATACCCAGGGAACAGGATGAAAAGCAAGTCATGTCCCGATGTGCATGGCTGCTGTACCCCCTACCCTCCCGAAAATCCGCCCTGGAGGCCAAGTCACTGTGATGACCATCTCTGCCAACACCACCCAGGGAGTGACAAAAAGAGACAGCCAGTCACTGAGGGATTTCCTAGCCTCAAGAAACAGTGCCATGCCTGGGAGCTTGGTGAAGGTAGGACTGGGGGAGGCAAGCCCCCAGCCCCACCTCCAGCTCCACCCCTTCCCATCCCTGGCCCCCAATGGGGAGGCAGGGCAGTGTGCCACAGGCGTCCCCCCCAACCACAGGGAAGGGAGGTAAGCAGGTGGGCAAGTGAACCCTGGAGTGTCCCAGGGCAGTGCCTCTCAACCAGTGGTCCAAGCATTCTTAGGGGCACTGAAGAGAAGCCTGGGAGTACATCAACACAACTGAAATTTGGAGAAAACTGAGTTTTTGTTTTAAGTTTTACAGCATTTTATTATTTTTGTACTTTTTACACCCAACTATTCCATCACCCACCCAGATACAATTAAGTTGTTTAAACAAATGTGTTGAAATGGTAAAAAAGAAATTGTTTGTGTGAAAACTGTAGGTACTGGGAGGTACTTAATTTTTTTTAAGGGATACTTTATAAAAAAAAGGTTGAGAAACACTGGCCTAGAGGATAGGGCATTTGCCACACGCCCAAGACTAGAGCCTGCACCCGTACCCCAATGAGGGTAGATTCAGGGAGGAAGGGCAATAGAGCAAGCAGGGTGAGGCCACAGAGAAGGGAGGAAGGAAGCTGAGCAAGGGTGTTTGGGTTGGAGGTAGATCTTACATTGCACTACATTGAAAAAGTGATTTTGTGGTTAAAAAGGTTGGAGACCACTGCCCTACCCTCACAGCAGGACCAAGCACTGACTAGATGATCCCTGGCAGGTGTCTAACTTGCTCTTAAATATCTCCAGAAATGGAGATTCCACAACCTCCGCTAGGCAATTTATTCCAGTGTTTAACCACCTTGACCGTTAGGAAGTTTTGTCCAACCTAAACCTCCCTTCCTGCAATTTAAGCCTATTGCTGCTTGTCCTGTCAGAGGCCAAGGAGAATAAGTTTTCTCCCTCCTCCTTGTAACACCCTTTTAGATACTTGAAAACTGCTATATGTCCCCTCTCAGTCTTCTCTTTTCTAAACTAAACAAGCCATTATTTCAGTCTTCCCTCATAGCTGCTCATGGTTTCTAGACCTTTCATCATTTGTGTTGCTCTTCTCTGAACCTTCTCCAATTTTTCCACATCTTTCTTGAAATGTGGTGCTGAGAACTGGACACAATACTCCAATTGAGGCCTAATCAGTGCAGAGTAGAGCAGAAAAATGACTTCTCGTGTCTTGCTCACAACTCTCCTGTTAATGCAGCCCAGAATCATGTTTGCTTTTTTTGCAACAGCATCACACTGTTGACTCATGTTTAACTTGCAGTCCACTATGACCCCTAGATCCCTTTCTGCAGTACTCCTTCCTAGACAGTTACTTCCCATTCTCTATGATCGAAACCAGAGCCAGCCCAAGGTACGGGCCAGCCGGGCTACCGTCTGGGGTGCCCCATTGTAGGGGGTGCCAGGCTGGGCAGGGACAGGGCCGCGCATACACTGGGCACCTGGTGCACTCAAATGGCTCGGGCTGGCCCTGAGCGAAACAGATTGTTCCTTCCTAAGTGGAGTACTTTGCATTTGTCCTTATTAAACTTCATCCTGTTTACCTCAGACCATTCCTCTAGGTTGTCCAGATCATTTTGAATTTTGACTCTCTCCTCCAAAGCAACCCCACCCAGCTTGGTATCACCTGCAAACTTAATAATCGTACTCTCTATGCCATCATCTAAATCATTCATGAAGATATTGAACAGACTCCTGCAGAACCCCTTCCAGCATGATTGTGAGCTGTTAATAACTACTCTGAGAATGTTTATCCATCCAGAAATAATAGGACACAACAATAGTAAAACACAAAGAAAGGATCACAGGAAATGTAACGTTACTCTAATCAGACTGATTAGTGGAAAGAAACAGACTTCTCAAATCACTCAGAATATTCAGACATAACAGGCTGACATTTTAAAAGAGGGTGAGGGATAATTTTTGACAGGGGGCCACTCCAAGATTTTGGAAAGTGGTCGAGGGTTGCACTCTTCCATGATATTAATGGAGGAGATGCAGGGTCTGGGATGGAGGTTGGGTACAGAATGGATCTTGCGGTAAAGGATTGGGGTGAAGAAGGGAGAATGGAGTCTGGGAGGGAGTTGGGATGAAGCAGGGCAGGGGATTGGGGTTCAGGGGATTGGGGTGTGACCTAGGGTAGAAGGGGATTGTGATCTGGGGCAGGAGATTGAGGTGCCAGATCTGGGAGGAGATATGGGTATAAGAGGGGGACAGGGGGTATGGGTATGTTCAGTGGGGGCAGGGTAGAGAGTTGGGGCAGGAAAGGGCGGGGGTGCCAGAGGCAGGCTGTGGCCAAGAGGCTTACTTGCCAGCTGCCAAACTAGCCTGCCTGCCTCCCTGCAGAGCTTAAAATGTTTCCCAGCCAGCCTGCCTGCCTATGTGCTTCATGAATAACTGAGCAGAGGAGAGGGGGGATGGTTCTTCTTAGCTGCCTGTTATTCCAGTGTTTCCCAACTTTTTTTGGCCAAGGTACCCCTTTATAATTTCGAGGAACCCCATCAGGAAAATTGGTCGAGCAAAAAGAGGAAAAAAAAAAGAAAAAAGAAGATAACTGTCTCTTTAACAGGGGGGGGAGGAGGAGGGAGTTCCAAGTTCTCACTGAACCCTTACTTTCACAGAGCACTATTTGGGAAACACTGTGTTACTCCAACAAACAGCTCACATTGGCTGGGGTGTGCCAGAAACTGGCCTGTGGGAATGTGCTGGGGGCGGGGTGACTCCTAAAACTTCCCCGCTCCCTCCAGTTTTAAAACAGAAATGGAGCCCTGCAGCTGCGTTTCTGCACAGTGTGCGGGACAAGAAGGAGAGCCTGCCTGGGGCTCCCTGCTCACTCCGTGAGCTGGCCAAAGCCATCCCATGGGCTATATTTTGCCCAGGCCTGTTTTAAAAACTGCTTGTAGTTTCATGCCTGCAAATCACATGGCTAGGACAGAACTCTGGCACTAATGACTGGCTGCAGAAGTCATCTGCATGCTGCTAGATAGTATTCAGTGTATTCAAGTGAATTGCTTGGTTGAATACAAATAATTTAGAAAAGAAGAAATAAAAAAGAATGTTACAAGCTTGTCTGTATTTTGCACCATTGGGTAGGGTGACTTTGACTTTTACTGCTCTGAGACCAACAACAGATAGGTCAGTTTCACCTTCTCTTTTAGTCATTTTCAGTTCAAGGCTTCCCCACTGGCTGCAGTGTTTGTTCTGCTATTGGGAGTGCTAGTATAATAATATTCACCTGGTACCTTGAAGCCATAATGAGATCAGGACCCCAGCATGCTAAATGCTGCTAGAGGCTGTCCCAGTCTGGAAGAGTTTACAATCACAACAGACAGAGGCTGTTGTTCCTCGGCAGGTTAAAGCCAAAAACTAAAAACTCTTTTCAATGGAATAACAATGAGTGGAGATGTTTCTGACTGATCTTAGGTTTTACAGACCCTCCATAATCCTGACAAGCCCTCTAACTTGCCAGTTCCTTCTCACCTACTTCCTTGCGCCTCTTGTACTCATTGATGTTGGTGTTCATCTCGAGCATCATGCTGGCTGCGCTCTGCAGGGCAAAGTAAGCTTTGTCACTGGCCGGTGTATTCTCCAGGATCTTCTGCAGCAGCAGCGGGTACTTAGTGACCCTCTGCACTGGCATCACCAGGAAGAAGCTCAGGTCTGAAGCACCAGTGTGAGATCTGCATGAGAGGCAAATGGGGAGAAATATGAGAATCTTGAGTGCAGCTGAACTCGTGGGCTACGTCTACACTGGCCCCTTTTCCGAAAGGGGCATGCTAATTTTAAACTTCGTAATAGGGAAATCCACGGGGGATTTAAATATCCCCCGTGGGATTTAAATAAAGATGTCTGCCGCTTTTTTCCAGCTTGTAGAAAAGCCGGAAAAGAGCATCTAGACTGGCCCGATCCTCCGGAATAGGTCTTTATTCCGAAGGATTTCTTATTCCTACTTCAAAGTTCAGATGTGCCCAGTCATGAGGGAGTGACTGGGGTGGCAAATGGGCATCTGATGATGCCTGTGATGAAATGAGGGCAATCACCTTCAGGGAAGCTCCATTTCAGAATAAGGTCCCAGGCTAATCGCCTCCACCCCCTACATCCATGTGATGTGTAGCAGACACCCCCACTACCCCACACACAGACCCCTAATGGCCCAGTAGTGTAGAGGGCAGGATCCTACATGCACATCACAGATGGGCAGTGCCATTGTTCCCATTTTCTCTTCAAATTCACCGCTGGATCCTCAGCTGCTGAAAATCAGCATCTCTGTAGCTCCCCTAGTGCTGGAGCTTTGCTGATTTATACCAGCTGAGGTCCTGGCCACCTACACTGGGGAGCTCAGAGCCAGGTGTTCAGGGATTTCCTGTCTGTGAAGCCCAGATCGCAACCTTCCCAAACCTGTGAACTGCCACCCCTCATAGCCATGCCAAGCAAGAGAGGAATTTCAGAAGGGTAGGGGGGAGCAGCCGTGTGCACTGGGACATGACTTGCTTTTCATCCCATTTCCCAGCCTATCCGGAAGTGAGAGGAAAGTACTTGCATACTGTGCATGCCTCTTACACCTGCCTGGTGAAGGGAGGGAGCAGAGGAATAAATCACGGCATGAAAGTACTTTTTCCTCACTCCCTGATACCCAGGGAACAGGATGAAAAGCAAGTCATGTCCCGATGTGCATGGCTGCTGTACCCCCTACCCTCCCGAAAATCCGCCCTGGAGGCCAAGTCACTGTGATGACCATCTCTGCCAACACCACCCAGGGAGTGACAAAAAGAGACAGCCAGTCACTGAGGGATTTCCTAGCCTCAAGAAACAGTGCCATGCCTGGGAGCTTGGTGAAGGTAGGACTGGGGGAGGCAAGCCCCCAGCCCCACCTCCAGCTCCACCCCTTCCCATCCCTGGCCCCCAATGGGGAGGCAGGGCAGTGTGCCACAGGCGTCCCCCCCAACCACAGGGAAGGGAGGTAAGCAGGTGGGCATGAGCTTGCCCCAGAGCACAGGGAGAGCGGGTGCTGGGGGCAGCAACACTCTGCCCCCAGAATGCCTACAGCAGGTATTCTGGGGGTGGAGTGTGGGCAGGGCCATACCTGGTGGTTTGGGAAGGCAGAGCCTTCCCCCTCCTAGGCTACTGGATGTCCATGGTGCCATGCTTGTTTAGGGAACAGGTTCTGGGACCGATTCTTGTCTTGGGGATAGAGAGAGGGAGGGCTGGGGGAAGAGAGACAGCCAAGCGACGAGCTGCGGTTAGCAGAGTGAATGTGGCAGCAGGCTGACCAGCCTCGCCTCTCTCCCTGCAGCACTGTTCACTCTGATTTGTCATGTTGAGATCCAGAAATGGAGTTCCAGGCTATGAGGCAGAGTAAGAAACTCCAGCAGCCCCCTCTCCTGCAGTACCCAGGCATCAGTGCCCTGCTTAAGAGCATGACAAGGGAAGTGAGAGTGCCAACAGCAAACCAATGTCAGCTCTTGCCCTGGTCATGCTGAGGGCAACCTGCAATTCACCAGCAAGCCCCTTTCCACATGTGGGCGAGGAGTCCCTGTTTGCTGGCTGTGGGAGGGGAGTAGGCAGGTGCTGCTCTCACTTATCAGCCTCCCTTCTAGTCCAGTCCAAGGCAAATGCAGCTCAAAGCAAGGGGTAGGATTTGTGAACCTTTCCTGGCAATGAATTAATACCCCTATCCATCAGGTGTGTCAGGGACAGCAGTGGCATCCCGAAATGCTGGGGAGTGCCCACCCCCACCCCTTCTTCTCCCTGTCCCCTTCCAACATCCTATCCTGTCCAGTAGGACTAGATGGGTCTCCCTTCTGAATTTGTCAAGGCTGTTTCTCAGTCAGCCGCAAGGGGGCAATATTGAGGCAGGATGGACCTGTCATTAGGAGCACATGGTCAGATAGGGTCAAAGCGCTGAGAATGCAGTTAGTCAGGGTCTCCCACCTGACCACAGGTGCCATTTATGGGGGGTTAGGAGGGTCAGCAGTCCCCCTAAAGTTTGAACCACTGGATTTCATATCTGAGGTTTGCTTAAAGGGCATGCCTTCCTGCAACCGGAGTTTGTGCTGCTCCCAGCTTTGCCTCTGGAGTAAGCAAGATGATTAAGACAACAAAAGGCTTTGTTATTCAAGAAAAACTTGTGTTTGTTGTTTTTCCAGTCGCAGACTCACTGGGCTGTCCCTCTGAGGCTTGTCTACTCACTGTCTTTTTTTCTTCCTCCCCCTCCTCTCCCTGCCCCCTTATTTATTCTTGGATCTGGACTTCCAACACTCCGGTCATCTGAAGAAGTGGATTGTACCCACAAAAGTGCATGATACCATCTACATGTTTTAGTCTTTAAAGACTTTAAAGTTCTATTAGACTATTTGTTGTTTTTAAAGTTTTTCCTGTTACAGACTAACTCAGCTACCCCTCTGAGGGTATGTCTACACTACCCCGCTAGTTCGAACTAGTGGGGGTAATGTAGTCATCCGCAGTTGCAAATGAAGCCTGGGATTTGAATTTCCCGGGCTTCATTTGCATGAAGCCGGCCGGCGCCATTTTTAAATGCCGGCTAGTTCAAATCCTGTGCCGCGCGGCTACACGCGGCATGGAGTAGCTAGTTCGGATTAGGCTTCCTAATCCAAACTAGCTGTACTCCTCGTTCCACAATATACTGGATTTAGAAAAGGTACAGAAAAGGAAACAGAAATGATTAGGGGGGAAACAGCTTCCACAAGGAAAGATTAACAAGACTGGGGCTTTTCAGCTTGTAAAAGAAATGACTAACAGGTGAGGGGATATGTTAGAAGTCTAGAAAATCATGAATGGTGTGGAAAAACAGAATAAGGAAATGTTATATATTCCTTCACTAACATAATACAAGAAGCTCACTCAATGAAATATATAGGCAGCAGATTTAAAACAAACAAAATAAATTATTTATTCCTGGTCAACCTGTGGAACTCCTTGCCAGGAGGAAAGGCTCAAACTATAACAGGGTTTCAATAAGAACGAAATAAGTTCAAGCAGCATCACAGGAGCATTCTGGCTTCTAGCCAGGATGGGCAGGGATATTGTCTCTAGTTTCTCTTTGACAGAAGCTGGGAATGGGCAACAGGCGCTGGATCATTTGATCATTGCCTGCTCTGCTCATTCCCACTGGGGCATCTGGCATTGGCCACTGTTGGAAGACAGGATACTGGGCTAGATGGACCTTTGGTTTGACCCAGTATGGCCGTTCTTATATCAATTATAAAAAAAATTAATTAATGAACATTGCCTATCTCCTAGAACTGGAACAGACCTTGAAAGGTCATCAAGTCCACTCCCCTGCTTTCACAGCAGGACCAAGTACCATCTCTGACAAATATTTGCCCCAAATGGCCTCTGCAAGGATTGAACTCACAACCCTGGGTTTAGCAGGCCAATGCTCAAACCACTAAGCTATCCCTCCCCCATATAGAACCCAAATGTTTTTGTCCCCTGCTGTAACGAACTAGATCCCACTCCCTTTCCAAAGATGAAATACAGCCCAGAGTCCTGACAGTGTCTGTCTGTCTCTCTCTCTCTGCAGAATTAGTAACAAAGTAAGAATATACATTAAAAATGTCAGGCTAACCAGTGTCCCTTAAGTGACTTGCCACAAGATTCAAAGGGATAGCCAAGTTATTCTGTAACTGGAAAAACTTAAGAAACAATGAATAGTCTAGCAGCACCTTAAAGACTAACAAAACATGTAGATGGTATCATGAGCTTACATGGGTACAATGAAATGCCACAAGATGTCATCTATGTTAGTACTGAAGCTGAGTGGGTCTAATATTTATATAATTTTCTTTTTTGTATATAGGAATTAGATACAGTTCTCCTGTCAGCTAATTGCTAAGCTACCTGCCAAAAAACTAGAATTTTTAATTTCCTTAATAGCCCCTGGAAAGAGGTGATGTGTATGTGTATGGGGAGGGTGGATGGGGTCAGTCCCCCACCCTCAATTTGCTGCTTGGCTTGTACTGAGCATGCTCAGTAACACTGCTGAATCCGCTGTCCTCATTCTGCTTCCCCCTCATTCTCTCGCCCCACATCACAACATGCACAGGTCACACACACACACACACAAATTTGAAATGGCATCCCTGCATCTCACAAGTCAATGCAGGGCTATCAGGCTGCCCCCTAAACTACTCTTTGGTGCCTGTGCATGTTCCCTGCTGATGGTCCCTGCCCCACTTTTGTAGGGAAGGTGAATTATTCAGGTGTGAAGGCAGCTCTCCCCCATGACCCCATATTGGAAGGAGATTTCACCCACCATACTTGAACACTCCAGCTGAGCTACCAGATACCACCAAGGAGAAAGGAAAATCCAGCCTTTGCCAAGGTTGGTCTCTGGAGATCACTTTCATCAGCACGAAAGGAAAGGATTGGGTGCTCTCAATTCCTGAGTCACAGTTTCCCGTGGAAGAATCAGTAGCTCTCTGGGGTGGCCATAAGCCATCATCAT